AACATTGATGAGAGAGAAACATCCATCAGCTGATTTCTGCCCGCCCCCTACTGGGGATGGAGCCTGCAACCGAGGTACATGCCCTCGGCCAGAATCCAACCGGGGACCCTTCAATCCGCAGGCCGACGGCTAGGCCTAGGGCAACAGTGTGGGGGTGTTCCTCAGTTACCCACTTCCCCTCAAAGCTGACCCCCAAGTGCTCATGAAGGAGGATGAAGACCCCACCCCCGCCCTGTTGTCCTGATGGAAGTTTGTCGTCCCCCCAGCGGCCCTGCCGTCTCACCAATGACATAGGAGAGGATGAGGTTCCAGCCGGTGACGAAGGCGCACAGCTGCCCCGCGGTGACGTAGCTGTAGAGATAGGCAGACCCGGAGCAGGGCACCCGCGCCCCCAACTCCGCGTAGCACAGCCCGGACAGCACGCACGTCACGGCGGCCACCAAGAAGCAGAGGACGATGGCCGGGCCCGCCTTGTCCCTGGCCACCTCCCCGGCCAGGACGTACACTCCCGCCCCCAGGGTGCTGCCCACCCCGAGGGCCACCAGGTCCAGGATGCTCAGGCACCGGGCCAGGCCGCCACCAGACCCCTCCCTCCACTCCAGGGGCCGCCTGCGCACCAGCTTCTCACAAAACCGGCCCAGGCGTCCACATAGCATCTTGGGTGGAGCTGAGCCGGAGGCACAGATCTGCAGGGAGAGAAAGACAGGAAGCCATCAGGAATGTCCGCCCAGCCTGGCCGGCCGTGTGGCTCAGTGGTCAGGGCCTCAGCCTGGGGACCGATGGGTCTTGGGTTCAATTCCCGGTCAAGGGCACCTACCTTGCTTACAGGGTCAACCCCTGGCCCAGAAGGCAACCCATCCATGTATCTCTCTGACACGGATGTTTCTCTCTCTCTCTCTCTCTCTCTCTCTCCTTCCCTCCCTTCTCTCCCTTCCACCTTTACCCTAGAAATCAATGGAAGAAAATATCCTTCGGTGAGAATTAAAAAAAATAAATAAATAAAAATGTCATATAAAATAAAATAAAATGAGAATGTCCCCCTAGCCTGGCTGGTGGGGCTCCACTGGCGAGAGCGCCTCAGCTGCCCCGTCCTGCACAGACCTGGCTTTGTCCCAC